TCTGAGCCGAGGGGGCGCTCCTCAAATGGTGGTCGAGGGGGATTTACAGAGGCGCCCCTGGCAAAAAAAAGTGTACTGCGACCGCTTACTTTGCGTAATGGATGAGCCGCCCCTGGATGCCACTCAGAGTCCCCCCAAATCTTATCATTCATTCATTTGTTCATAAGAGCTGCTCATCAGTGGAATCTGCCTTTGTCTGGGAGTCCTCCTTCTCTGGAGGTTTTTGAGCAGAGACCGGATGGCCATCTGTCAGGAGTGCTTTCATTGTGTCCTTGCATGGCAGGACATTGCACTGGATGGCCCTTGGGATTCTGTCCAAATGATTGATTGATTCATAACACTGTTCAGTAGCAGAAACTGCTTCAGCCTGAGAGTCACGTGGAGTCTCCTTCTCTGGAGGGTTTTGAGCAGAGTCTGAATGGCCATCTGTCAGGAGGGCTTGGATTGTGTCTTCCTGATTGTCAGAAGGAGGTTGGACTGGATGGATAGTACCTGGGTGTGAATGTGTTAATGGCTGAGTCATGTTAGATAGAAATAGCACAGCATTTCTTATCATGAAGAAAATACTGTTTGATGAACATGTAGAATATTGATATTACCAGGGTAGTGATTGTGAATGTCACGATGCAATACCTAAGGGGTGTGTGTTTGTGTGTGTGTTAATGGCTGAGTCAAAACTATATGGGGATTATTGCAATCAGTGTCCCTTACTGATTACCTATCAGCACATGGCTATATAAAGGGGATGAAAGGATCCATCTTTTTGTCTCTCCTGTGTGACTCAGTGTGAGTATCTCCCTCTTCTGTATGTGACTATTTGATTACTCTAATTGTTTGCAAGTACAAGACAGAAAGTGGATCTGCCTATCCTGACTGGGAGATGAAGAAAGGAGGGAGGGAAATTAAGGGGAAGGAAATGAAGAAAGGGAAAGAAGGAGGAAAGGAAGGGAGGAAGGAAAGGAAGAAGGGACAGGAAGGAAGGGAAGGAGGGAAAGAAGGGAATGAAGGAGAAGGAAGGGAAGGAAGGAAGGGGGAAGGGACAGGAAGGAAGGAGTGGAGAACATACATTGGGTTGTTAGGTGTATCGTGTCCAAATTTGGTGCCAATTGCCCCAGTGGTTTTTGAGTTCAGTGAATACCACAAACAAACATTACATTTTTATTTATATAGACTAGCCGTCCCCTGCCACACGTTGCTGTGACCCACTCTGGTGGTCATGGGGGTTCTGTGTGGGAGGTTTGGCCCAATTTTATTGTTGGTGGGGTTCAGAATGCTCTGTGATTGCAGGTGAACTACAAATCCCAGCAAATACAACTCCCAAATATCAAGACTCTATTTTCCGCAAACTCCTCCAGTGTTCACATTTGGGCATATTGTGTATTCGTGTAGAGTTTGGTCCAGATCCATCATTGTTTGAGTCTACAGTGCTCTCTGGATGTAGGTGAACTACAACTCCAAAACCAAAGGGCACTGCCCACCAAACCCTTCCAGTATTTTCTGTTGGTCATGGGAGAACTGTGTGCCAAGTTTGGTTCAATTTCATTGTTGGTGGGGTTCAGAATGCTCTCTGATTGTAGGTGAACTATAAATCCCAGCAACTACAGTTCCCAAATGTCAAGATCTATTTTCCCCAAACACCACCAGTGTTTACATTTGGGCATATTGAGGATTCATGCCAAGTGTGGACCAGATCCATCATTATTTGAGTTCACAGTGCTCATTGGTGGGGTTCAGAATGCTCTTTGATTGTGGGTGAACTATAAATCCCAGCAACTACAACTCCCAAATG